CCTGCGCGAGCTCGAGGACCAGGCGCGCGCGCTGCCCGAGCTGCAGGAGCAGGTGCGCGCGCTGCGCGCTGAGAAGGCGCGGCTGTTGGCTGGGCGCGGGCCGCCGGAGCCCGACTGGGAGGCCGAGGCGCGCCCGGACAAGCTCGCTCAGCTGCGGCGTCTCACCGAGCGCCTGGCCACCTCCGACCGCGGCGTCCGCGCCAGGGCCAGCCCCCGGGCTGACGGCCCCGACGGGTCGGCTTCGAGGCGCAGCGAGGGCGCGCTCCAGGTCCTCGACGGGGCAGACGGGACCCCCGACGGGGCGCCCCAGACGCGGGAGGCGGGCGCACAGGCCGGGCCGGAGACCCAAGATGCAGGAGCCCAGGCCGGGCCGGAGACCCAAGATGCAGGAGCTCAGGGCAGGCCAGAGACCCGGGAGGCCGGCGTGGAGGCAGCTCCTGAGACTCTCGAGGCGGACGCATGGGTGACCGAGGCGCTGCTGGGGCTGCCCGCGGCCGCCGAGCGCGAGCTGGAGCTCATGCGCACCAGCCTGGAGCACCAGCGCGGGGTGAGCGAGCTCCTGCGGGGTCGCCTGCGCGAGCTGGAGGAGGCCCGCGAGGCTGCCGACCAGGAGGCAGAGGCAGAGGCAGCGGCGGCGGCTCGGCCCCAGCCGCGCGAGGTTGCCACCCAGACCCCGTGGGGTTGTGCCGAGGCGGCCACGCAGACCGAGCCCCCCGCAGAGGCCCCTTCCCTGGCGCAGGAGAACTCGCCTGGATCCCCGGACGGGGACAGAGCCGCGGCCCCCGCGGGTGAGTCCCGACCCCTCGCTGAGCCCTGGCTTGCTGGCCTTCGGACTCGAACTCAGTGCCCTCATCTGATCCCCGCCAGGCGTCCTCAAATCCATCATGAAGAGGAGAGACGGTACACCTGGCGCCCAACCCAGCCCCGGACCCAAGAGCCTGCAGTTTGTTGGGGTCCTCAACGGAGAGTGAGCACTTTCCCCTCCCCATGGCAGCATCGGCGGGGACACGGACTGGGGTTTGGATGCCAGCTCTGCCCCGCGCTCACAGCGTGTCCTGGCAAGCCTCAGTTTCCTCATCTGTACCGTGAGGACAGCCACTCCCGCCTCGCAGGAGTCCAGAATGCCTCCCACCCTGCCCCCAGGTACGAGAGCTCTTCCAGTGAGGACGGCAGTGACAACGACAGCGAGGACGGCGCTGCCGAGCCCCCGAGGAGCAGCAGCTCCTCCGGCTCCGGGGAAGACAGCGGCGGGGGATCCGACTCGGGCACCCCCGGGCCTCCCAGCGGCGGGGACGTCCGGGACCCCGAGCCGGAGCCAGAGCCGGAGCCGGAGCCTCAGCTGGGTGCGCAGGGAAGGTGAGCGACGGCAGCGACACGGAGTGGGGACGGCTTCTCTCGTTCCTGTCCCCGCGGCCCCGGCCCCAGACCTCTCCTGAGCATTTCCTGGTCCTCGGTAGGTGCGAGCTGAGCCCCCGTTTGCGGGAGGCGTGCGCAGCGCTGCACCGGCAGCTGAGCCGGCCCCGCGGAGTCGCCCGCGACAGTGTGAGTGCCGAGAGAGCCCTTCACAGATGGAGGTGTGGGCCGCATCAGGGACCTCCCCTGACGTCCTCTTAGGGAAGGCATCGAGTTTCCCAGAGTTGGGAGGCCCCAAGTTCGGTCCCCTCGCGCCAGAGACCTCCACCGATCCCAGGCTCTCCAAAGGGATCTCTGCCCCACGACAGCGCTCATCTTGCCCTGGTGACCCAAAAGGGGCCCGCCCCAGCACTGGCCCAAGCCCCCCCCACACACTCCCCAAAGAGAAGCGCTCACCGCCTTCCTCCACTTTAGGTTCTCCCTCAGCCTCTTCCCCAGAACGGGAGAACCCTGCCCCTCGAGCCCAGGACCCGCACTGGCTACTCCCTCCTCGAGAGGGGTGTGGTCCCATGGCTCCCCACGGGCCCTCCCTGTCACCCCGCTGACGCCTTTCCTCCTGTCGCGGCAGGGCGCGGCGCGCCTGGTGGCCCAGGAGTGGTTTCGAGTGTCGAGCCAGCGGCGCTCGCAGGCGGAGCCCGTGGCGGGGGTGTTGGGTGCGGTGGCGCGCCTGGGACCTGAGCTGCTGGCCCACGTGGTGAACCTGGCGGATGGCAACGGGAACACAGCCCTGCACTACAGCGTGTCGCATGGGAACCTGGCCATCTCGAGCTTGCTGCTGGACACGGGTCAGCGCCTGCCGCCGCGGTTACAGGATCCATCCTGGGTGGATTGCCCAGGGCATCCGGACCTCTCCACTCTGAGCTCTGCCCTGACCCGCCTCTCACTTTGCAGGGGGCAGGAGTATCCGGGTTTGGGATTAGGTAGATCTGCATTTAGGGGAATTGATTCATCTCACCAGCCTTGGCTTCCTCACCTGGGAAATGGGGATGCAATGCCTACCTCCTTGGGCAGCTGAGAGAACACCTGTAGAACAGTGCTAGGCCCCGGGTAGGAGGTCAATCAATGGTCACCATGTCTTCTGTCCCTGAATCTCCAGCCCTGGCGCTCACCTCGTTCCTGGGCCCCAGTGCCCAGCCACCCGCCTCTCCAGGCTTGAGGGGAGGTGCTCACTGGTGGGGCTCTGAGTACCCTCCCCGGCTGGGGCGCTGCGTGCTGCCCTCCACCCCCCGTTCCTGCATTGGCTCCACTTCACACATTTCTGTCACCTGCCTCTTGCTTCCCCCTCTCTAGAGTAGAGATGCGCACACCCAGCTGTTGCTGAGCCCACAGATGTGTGTTGAGGGCCGACTAGGTACCAGTGCGGGGCCAGGGTCCCATTCAGCTGCTTTCCCCATGGGATTTACAGCAGAGGGGACAGTGGGCAGTAGACAAACTGACTGCCCATCAAGAGGACACCTGGGTGTCCTCCTTCAGGTCTAGTAACCACTGGGGTCTGCCCTTGGAGGCCTGTCACTCTCACTGCAGGTGCAGGAGAGTCCCACTACCCCCCTTCCCCAACACACAGATCCATCCATGTCTGCAGGTTTGGGGATCTGGGGAAGTGTGTGTAGCTGGTGTGGGCTGGACAGGGAGCTGGGCTTGGGAGAAGGGGACGATGCATGAGTTAGAAAGATTTCCTTGGCATCTCCTGTCTTAAAGGGGGCTGGGGACCGGGACACAGCAGGCTCCTTGGACCCCATCGTTCTCTGCATTCAAAGCCCCACTTGGGTCCAACTCCCCAGACCTGGCCTTGGGCCTTGTGCTTCTCACCTCCTCATCCCCTCTGCCCCCGCCTGCTTGCTGCCATGGCAATCTGGCCCTCCCCTGCCCCAGGACCCTGAGCGCTGAATGCACCCCTGCGTGGGGGCTGTTTCCTCTTTCATCTTCTTGGAACGCAGGGCATGGACGTGGCTGTGCGCCATCCTTGCTCTGGATCTCCACTTCCAGACCTTTTCCTCTCCTCCCTAAACCCCGCCTTGGAGCCTATTGATCAGACCCGTACCCTCTCCGCCCCTTCTTCTGTCTGGCTTTTCCCTCTGACCTCAGGTCGCTCTTCCCTCATTGCTTGAATTTGAGCTCCCGGCCGGTTCTCCTCTCAGCCTCATCCTCAGCAGTTCCAATACCCTCATGGACCGTCCCTCCAACCTCCCGGCTTCTCAGTTCCTTGAGCTCCTTCTCTCCCTTCGCCTTGACCTCTGCCCTACATCAGCCTTACACTTGGAAGGTCACCCCAAGACCTTGATGTCATCATAACTATGCCCCCTCCATGACTCACTTCCTACACCCCCCTTCTCACCTCCCAGCATCTCAGCCCACTGTCTCCCATTCCCCTTGGACCTTATGGGACCATTATCCATCGCTCCCACCCCATCTCGCTGCCCCCACCCCGTCTCCTGGCCTCCTGGCTCACGCTCTGGCCTGTCATGAACTACCCTTTTATGTGCCCCTCTCTCACCTCACCCGACTTGCCTCGCAGTCCCAGCGTGGCACACAGTAGACCCTCAAGTGTTTGAGTGAATGAGCGAGCTTTCATGAATGGATGGCTGTGACTGTGTCCCAGGGGAGGAAATCAAGAAACAGGTGAACCTTTAGCTTAGCAGGGCCTCAGGGTAGGTGGGAGGGGAAAGGTAGAGGGAGGGAGAAGATGGGGGTCCTCAGCTAGCCTACAGAGCCCCTGCTCTGGTTATTTCTCTGTGTTCCTCCCCACCTAACACCTTCCACTGGGGTCATAGAGGCTTGTGACAGCAATGAACACCCAGGCAGCATGCCACACAACTAGGGACCCTCCCCAATTTTGATATTTGACTTAACCCTTTTACTCCTAATCCGTCGTCTCCGATTCCCTCTCTCTCTAGGCCATCGCCTCCATGACCTGGATCCCAGATCCAGCTCTTTTCCCCAAACTTCTCACTATATGCCCCTCCCACCCATTCATCTCCCAAACTGTCCCCAGCCTGGTGGAGCTTTCAGAATGGTGGGGGACCCGCATCAGTCTAGTAAATGCGGTCTGAACACAGGTAGGTGCCGTGAGGCAGGGCCAGGAGGGTAGCAGATCTGATCCCAGAGGAAAAGAAGCCGATGTTGTGTTCCGTTCTGGAGGATGGGCAGCAGTCACCAGGCTGTCCATTTCCTCCAGCCACTGTAACCAAGTACCACAGTATGGGCGGCTTAACACAACAGAAATTCATTTTCTTGCAGTCCTGGAGGCCAGAATCCGAAATCAAGGTGTTGGCGGGTTGGTTCCTTCTTAGCGCTCAGAGGGAGAATCTGCTCCCTGCCTTTCCCCTAGCTTCTGGTGGCTGACAGCGATCCTTAGCGTTCCGTGGTGGTTTAAGGCCCCTTAACTCTTCTCTGCCTTCATCACGTGGTGTTTTGCCTGTCTCTGTGTCTCATCTAAGGACACCAGTCATATGGGCTTAGGGCTGCCATAATAACCTCATCTTCATTATTTTTCCAAAGACCCTATTTCCACTTAAGGTCACATTCACTGGGGGTTAGGACTCCAAAGTATCTTTGGGGGACACAGTTCAATCTGTAACACAGGCTTGGGGTGAAAGGGGGATTCCAGAAGGAAGATGAGTTAGACAACAGAGAGCCTCAGAGGCTGTGTGGATAACAGCCTGTACTCCAGGAGCAATGGGAGACACAGGAGGGTTTTAAATAGGAGATGACTGGGCCGGATTGCTTTTGATCTGCCACTTCTGGCTGCTTCATGGACCCGGAATGGACTGGGACAGCAGGGTGGCCCAGTTGGCACCGTTCTCTAGGGGAGCAACGTTGGTGGCTTGGTGGGTAGCAGCCATGAAAATAGAAACATCCGTTTATTCAGTCAACACATCTTTATTGAGTACCTACTATGTGCCAGATATTGTTCTAGGGACTGGGGGTACAGCAGTGAACAAGACAACTCCCCAAACCAATGTGAAGGAGGGAGGTGAGATTTGAGCAGACCCTGAAGGTCGGGGCCATTGGAAGAGAGCCTTGCAGGCAGAGGGGACAGTAAATTTCACGACCCACGGTGACACCAATACACAGATGCTGAACCCGAGGCTTGTGGGGAGGTGAGCGGACCAGGTTGGGCTGGGGTGTCGGGCTTCTTGGTTGACTGACCTTCCTCTCTCCCAGGGGTCTGCGAGGTTGACCGCCAGAACCGAGCCGGCTACTCGGCCCTCATGCTGGCTGCACTCACCTCCGTGGGGCGGGAGGAGGCGGCCATGGCTGTGGTCCAGAGACTCTTCCGCATGGGCGATGTCAATGCCAAGGCCAGCCAGGTGTGCGGACACCTCCTCCTTGCCTCCGAGTCCGGGGATCACTTCCACTTTGGGAGCCAACTGGTCTCTGACCTCCCTTCCTCGAGCTCACCCCAGCCCTGTCCCCTTCTCCCCTACTCCTCAGACCGGGCAGACGGCCCTCATGCTGGCCATCAGCCATGGCCGCCAGGACATGGTGGCGGCCCTGCTGGCGTGTGGGGCAGACGTGAATGCGCAGGATGCGGATGGGGCCACGGCGCTGATGTGCGCCAGCGAGTACGGGCGCCTGGACACTGTCCGGTTGCTGCTGGCCCAGCCAGGCTGCGACCCCGCCCTCCTGGACAATGTGAGCCACCATGGGGCTGCTCAGCGGGGTGGCAGGGCACCCACGCCTTGGTTCAGGGACCTGACTGTACTTCTTGTTCCTCAGGAGGGCACCAGTGCCCTGGCCATGGCCTTGGAGGCTGAGCAAGATCAGGTGGCTGCTCTGCTGCACGCCCACCTGAGCTCGAGCCAGGCTAGTCCCCTGGTGAGTGCAGCCCCAGCCCCTGGAAACAGAGCTTCCCAGCTGCACATCGGGGTTGGGGAGGACACCAAGTGTGCCCCAGGAAAGAGGAACACCCCTGGGGAGACCAGCGGTGGGCAACCTGGGTCTGAATTCCCGTGTGGCTGGAACTTGTGTTCAACCCACAAAATGTCCTCGAGTTGGACACAACCCCACCTCACAGGTCATGAACCTCAGGCCTCCAGAGGGGAAGTGACTAAGGTCAGAGTGGAGGAGCTAGACCTCGCTCAGACCTTCCCTGTCAGCGGGGGCTTATATTCAAGACAAGAGCCAGGCTGTTCTCAGCCCTTTCACAACCAAATTCACCCGATCAGCCTGGACTCTCCTGTGGATATGCAGGAGGAGGCACGGAGGTCAAGTGTCTCTGCCAGCTCAGATGGGGCAGAGGCAGGATTCAAACCCATGCAGCCTGGCCCCACCTTAGGCTTGACCACAGTGCAGAGAAGCAAGACCTCCACTAGGTTAAGCACCCCCGGAACCCACTGAGACTGTGACAGAATCCCCCCCCAACCTCTCTCTCACCAGTCATCCCCTGATGCCCCCATGGCTGCCCCTGGTGAAGGAGGATGCAGTGACAATGGAGAGGACCGCCAGCCTCAGTGAGCAGCCTGGCACACTGGACCCGGATGGGAGCAGAGATCTTTCCCTCCCCCACGTCAGCCCCTGGGGCACAGCAGGGGCCAGGGTTCACTGTCCCGAGGCTAGCCCTGGCCCCAGAGAAAGACTTGGATGGTTCAGTATCTGGGAGGGGCCCACCGTGGACCAGCAGGGTGAGGCAGGGCTGAGGAGTGACAGGGCCCCTAGTCCCCCCCCACCAGTCCCCCCACGGCTTCCGTAATAAAACATTCCTCACTCAGCTGGTCTCTTGTTTTGGGGACACACATGAACACAAGATTCCCCTTACTCAAAAAAAAGTGCCTTGTTGAGGAAGACCCCTCCCAGCTTTCCAGAGTGCCAAGGATCAGTGACCACATAAAGGCCCCACTAGAAGCTTTTATCAGCCTGGTGACAACCCAGAGAAGAACCCAAGTATATATACAACATAAGCTCTTTATTAACAGTCGCAGATCATCCCCATGGGCCAAGTAGTCAAACCACACATCCAGGACCCTGTGAACAAACCCAAGCATGAGACGCTGACGCTCCCTCCCCCGTCTTGCCCATCGCAGACCCTTTCTACACCTCCCCACCCCTGTGGGCTTGGTGAAGCCTCCCTCCCACCAGGCAAGGATCTAACAGGAGCCTGCTGTTTCGCACCCCAGTCCTGCACTCACCAGCCCCAAGTTCAGCGCAGCCTCCGAGCCTCTCGCTCTGACTCCAACAGGGTGAGCACGTCGCCCTCGCGCACGGGACCTTTCACGTTGCGGATGATGGAGCGGCTCGTGTCGTCCATGAATTCCACGCGCACCTACGGGGCCCACCGACGGGATGGGAAGGAGTCAGGGCCGGCCACGGACAGGCCCCGTGGGGTGGGCAGATTTGGATTCAGAGAACGTGTCGGGGCCGGACCAGGGATACCTAAAAAGGGGACTGCGACTGGGAGACGGGGCTGGGCCGGGAGAGAAGCCGAAAAGAGCTGAGACTTGGAGAGCAAAGCTCTCGAGTGCCAGAAGCAGCCATCGGCGGGTACAACTGCAGCTCTGGGCCCGTCGGGGACGGGAACACAATCGGAAAAAGGTGGAGCCCACAGTGGTCATGGGGACGGGCTGAGCCACGAGGACGGACACCGGGGCTCAGACCCGATTGGCAGGACCTCGGACCTTCCGGGAGCCCTGGAATAAAAGGGACGTCGGTTCTCAGATTCCAGCCGGCAGGGCCTGGGGCACGGAGCGGGTCATCCTTAGGAGGCTCAGACCCCGGGGCGCCCCCACCCGCTCACCTGCGTGCACTGTCCCTGAGAGCCGGTCCTGCCCAGCACCTTGGTGACCTGGCGGAGAGAAGCTAGAGTCAGACCTGGTCCGCCCGGTCCCCCGATCCCCTCCTTCCTCATCCGGGCCCCCAGGTCTGAGCCCCCGCCTCACCCTGGCCAGTTTGATGGGCTGCACACGACTCGTGTCCATGATGGCGGCGCGGCGGCGGTCGGGCGGAGAGGAGTCACGTGTTTCGGGGAAAGCTTTTATACGACGTTCCAGCTCCGCCCACTCCTACTCTCGCGAGACCATACGCGCCCTTCCCAGTAGCCCCCGCGGCAGAGACGTCACCGGCGCCCTTCAGAGCAGACGAAAGATGGCGTCCGCTACCCGGCTCATCCAGTGGCTGCGGAATTTTGCATCCGGGGTGCGCGGAGCGGGAAGCGGGGCGCTGGCGGGGCTGCGGGCTCCGTGCGCGGACTCGCTCCCGCTTCTCATCTGCCTCCCACACCCCTGGGCCTGGGGGCCCTATTGCCGAGATCCCCCTGGGCCGGACTCCTCGCTCAGCCCGGGACCCCCAATCGTGACCCCTTCAGTCTGGGACACACCCGCCTCCACTTTCAGCCGTTGACCCTCCCTTGGCCGGGGACCCAGTCAGGCCTTCTTAGCCTTGTCGCCCCGGTCCCCGGCTTTCGTTTGCAGCCCCATGTCCCCGTCCCCAATTGCCCGTCTCCAGCTTTCCCTTCCTTTGTCCATCCCCGGGCTGCCCCTGTTCTCTCGCTCCCTCCTCTCTCGGGCTGCCCTGCAGGCTGACCTCCTTCCTTTCCTCCTCCCACAGCGAGACTTGCAGGCGAAGCTGCAGCTGCGCTACCAGGAGATCTCCAAGCGGTGAGCAAGCCCCGCTCACTGCCCAGACTCCGGCCTTGTCCTGTCCTCCCTCCATCAGAAACAAAATCCGTGTTCCTTTAGACCCCTAGAGTGCTGTGCGGAGATCCTGCCCCCAGCCCCCTGGCAGGTGTGGAGGCAGAGGTTTTCCTTCAACCTTGCTGGACTCTGTCGGAGACGGTTGCTCGGGGAACAGCCAGGTTGGGCGTGAATTCTGGGTGGGAATCGTGTGCCGATGCGCAGTCCTCAGCGCGGCCCCAAGCTCCGCGTGAAAAACTTGGAGCCTTGGAGGGACTCATTCATTTGCTTAAGGTCACTCAGAAGCTAGAAAGTGACAGTTGGGAGTTGAACCTAGAAGCGTCTTGATTTCAAACTCATTTATTTCCAAAAATGGGTTGATATTTACAAGCCCCTCCCATGTCGTCAGCCTTAGGGACACTAGTGGGAACAAGAAAAGTTCTTATCCTCACTCCTTTCATGGAGCCCAGATCCTAGGGAGAGAGAAAAATAGGAATTAAACACAGCCGGTAAAAAACGTTGTTCTGGAATGCTCCGAAGACAAAACAAAATGAATGAGAGTAGCTGAGAGTGGCGACCTTAGGTCAGGTGGTCAGGAAAGTTCTCTTCAGGGATTGACATTTGAGTCGCCTGAATGATGAGAAGGAGGCAAAGGATAATTATTTTTTTTTTTTTTAAAGATTTTATTTATTTTATTTTTTCCCCCCAAAGCCCCAGTGGATAGTTGTGTGTCGTAGCTGCACATCCTTCTAGTTGCTGCATGTGGGACTCGGCCTCATGATGAACGGAGATGTGGTGCCTCGATGCGCACCCGGGATCCGAACCCGGGCCGCCAGCATCGCAGCGCGCGCACTTAACCACCAAGCCACAGGGCCGGCCCGCAAAGGATAATTATTGAAAAGACATTCTGGGCAGTAAGCGCCAAGGCTGTGAGGCCAGAAAGTGCCAGAAATAGGAAAGAGAGCAGGGTGGCTGAAACACGGAGGAAGGGGGTGGAAGTCCACACAAGTCAGAGGGGCAGGTAGAGATGACGCAGCCACGGAGGGTTAGCATGCAAGGAAGAAAACGAGCATTAAAATAGCCAAATTCCTGTGAATGTCTACATATTGTGACTGATTCCAAATGGCAAAGTTTTGAATTGCTTTTCCATGCAGGGTAGTTGGTGGGCCAGTTGAGGGAACGGTTTTGTGAAAGGAGAATGGCGCCCCCTAGAGATTCATTTGGGCCTTTCTATGGGGCGCTGGTTCTTTATGCCTTTTCTGTGCTAAGTTGTAGAAAGCTATGGCCTGGCCTTTAGAGCATCATGTCTGCACTCCACGGGTTAAGCAGATTCTACTTTCCACCCAGGATATTGCTTTTAATATTAGATTTTTTTTTTTTTTTTTGGTGAGGAAGATCAGCCCCAAGCTAACATCCATGCCAATCCTCCTCTTTTTGCTAAGGAAGACTGGCCCTGGGCTAACATCTTTGCCCATCTTCCTCCACTTTATCTGGGACGCTGCCACAGCATGCTTGACAAGCGGTGCATCCGTGCTTGCCTGGGATCCAAACCTGTGAACTCCAGGCTGTGGAGGTGGAGTGCGTGCACTTAACTGCTACGCCACCGGGACAGCCCTAATGTTAAATTTTTAAGCTTTATTTTTATCTATTTCTCATTTTTTTATACAATGATTATCACTTTTTTTTTTTTGCTGGGAAAGATTCGCCCTGAGCTAACATCTGTTGCCCATCTTCCTCTCTTTTTTTTTTTCCTCCCCAAAGCCCCAGTACATAGTTGTATATGCTAATTGTAAGTCCTTCTAGTTCTTCTATGTGAGCCACTGCCACAGCATGGCTACTAACAGACGAGTGGTGTGGTTCCGTGCCTGGGAACCGAACCCAAGCCGCCGAAATGGAGCGTGCTGAACTTTAACCGCTAGGCCATCAGGGCTGGCTCGATTGTCACTTGTTTTAAGAGAAACTTTTCGGGGCGGGCCCTGTGGCTTGGCGGTTAAGTGTGCGTGCTCAGCTACTGGCGGCCGGGCTTCGGATCCCGGGCGCGCACCGACGCACCGCTTCTCCGGCCATGCTGAGGCCGTGTCCCACATACAGCAACTGGAAGGATGTGCAGCTGTGACATACAACTATCTACTGGGACCTTGGGGGGAAAAAGGGAAAAAAAGGAGGAGGATTGGCAATAGATGTTAGCTCAGGGCCGGTCTTCCTCAGCAAAAAAGAGGAGGATTGGCATGGATGTTAGCTCAGGGCTGATCTTCCTCACAAAAAAAATAAATAAAAAAACTTAGATCCTGGCAAAACGGTCACCAGACAAAAAAGTTATTTAAAAACATGGTTGAATGAGAAAGGTTTTTTTTTTTTTTGTGAGATCAGCCCTGAGCTAACATCTGCCAATCATCCTCTTTTTTTGCTGAGGAAGACTGGCCCTGGGCTAACATCCGTGCCCATCTTCCTCCACTTTATATGGGACGCCACCACAGCATGGCTTGCCAAGCGGTGCGTCGGTGCGCGCCCAGGATCCGAACTGGCGAACCCCGGGCCACCGCAGTGGAGTGTGCGCACTTAACCGCTTGCGCCACCGACTGATCTTTTAATGATTTTTTCCAGTCTTTTCTGCCCTCCCTCTCTGCTGTGTTTTCCACGGAAGCTCCTCTTTTGTTTTGAGGTTAACGTTTCCTTTTCATGCCTTTTTGTAAATTCAGCTCAGTTCACACCCCTCCTCTGGCAGCAGCAGCCGGGAGGAGGCAGGAAACGCAGAGGCCTGTGAGGCTCAGAGGTCAAGGTGCTCTTTGAGTAGTAAGGCTTGATGCCAGCGGGGTTCTCCAGAGAGTTCCTGAGATAACAGGGCCTGCTGGGTTTCTGCAGCCTGGCCTTTGGGGACAGAGCCCCTCAGAATGAGCTAAGTCTGGGACTGTCACCCGTGTCTACGGACAAGTGGTGGACAGAGCCTCAGACCCCGGCCTCTGCATTTCCTGAGCACCTGCTGGTGTAGCTGAGGCCAGCTGCCACACTCGGGGCTGTGGGGGGTGGGAACAGGCCTGGGTGTCCCATCTGGGCCTCCCCTTTCCCTGGGAGGCACCTCACAAAAGGTCTTCT